CCCTGCCTGTGTGCCCCGAAGGACACCTGTCTGTAGGGCTGGTGCTCAGGGAAGCAGCTCCCTTGGTGCAGAGACACCAAACCCTCCCCTCGCTGGTTCCCACCGGGACAGGTCAGTGTGACATCTCAGGGTCACTAACAGATAGAACAGGCACCCTTCAAAACAGCCCTCAGCAGGGCTCAGTGAGGCCTCCCTGACACATAACAACAGACGGCCTTCCTGTCTCTTCAGGGCCTCCAACGCCTCAGGGGGCTGTGCCGCTATTAAAGTGCAGGCACGCGGCACTGTGCTTGTACTCCAGCGGGAGCCACGTTTTAACCCCCGTTCCCTGGGAAATGGCTGGGCATAAGAGGAAGCGGCATGCGCGTGGCACAGGACGTGGGCATTAATGTTCCGTTCACCAGAGGATGCTCCTGATGCTCCTGTATTTCAGAATCCAGGACACATACGTGCTCACGGGGACCATGATTCTGATTTTAACCCTACTCACTTCTCCTCTGGAAATTCCACCCGATGGGCAGTCCTGGGGGGTCACGTACTGGGCTCTGCCCTGCAACAAGTTTACTCCCGGCATGAAGGAGTTATTCTCCACACGCAACGATGGGTCATGAACTGCTGCTCTGTTTTATCATGAGACATGAAACCTCTCAATAACGTCACACCCGTCGGTCCTCGTTAACTGTCTTGAATTGTCTTGAATTTGGGGTACACTCTGTGTTCACAACAAGCTGCCCTCTGACACATTCTATAGACACCATTTGCTACCTAAATACATGCGTGTATATGTCCATGTGTGTGTGTTCCTTACACTGTGCCTCTGCTATCATGAATTCCAGAACTAAATTTAGTGTTCCACTGCAGTGGGAACACAATTATCTTATCTCTAGTTCAGGATACTATTTATGGTTCCTCTCTTATCTTCATGCATCCATGTGAACATGTGTTTTCACTGTAAGCCATCTCAAATGCTTTTCTGACAATAGTTGGAAGTATAAACATTAACAATAAGTAATACACAGAGAAAGTCCGTTGCAAGCGCCGGCACAGGGTGGGCTGTGTTTTTTTTGTTTTTTCCCCCCTTTTTTAAAATATATTTTATTGATTTTTCACAGAGATGAAAGGAAAGGGATAGAGAGTTAGAAACATTGATGAGAGAGAAACATCGATCAGCTGCCTCCCGCACACCTCCCACTGGGGATGTGCCCGCAACCAAGGTACATGCCCTTGACCGGAATCAAACTTGGGACCCTTCAGTCCGCAGGCTGATGCTCTATCCACTGAGCCAAACCGGTCAGGGCAAAGGCTGTGTTTCTTGAGCGTGGAATGGCCCTGTGCTTGTCCAGGTAAACACTGGCCAATGACGGTGCAAATGCTAACCAGAGGCAGGGGAGAGAAAAGAACCAATGCTGACCAGGAGTCCAGTCACCGTTTGTCCATCGCTGTACAGGGTGCTTGTGCAACATCCTCACCCTTCATCCTTTAGGACAGTGCTTTGGGGCAGAATGCAAACCCCAGGTTCCTGACATCCAAGCCCACACTTCCTGTGTTACACAGCATCACCTTTCAAAGGAGATTGCTTTGGACAACGTCAAGTTGGAATTTTTCAAAAATGAAATGCTAGCTGCACAGCTGTACACATTTAATTGCTCGAAAAGACAGGAACGAGAGGTTGCATCATAGTGAACGGGGCAGTCAGGCAGACCCACACCAGGCGTGGAGCAGGAAGGAACACCTGTGCCCTTAGCGAGCAGGGCAGGGAGGGCCGCATCCTGTGCCCAGCGCTGGGAGCAGAGTGAGCTGCACTTCCTTGAACACAAAGGGGAGAAAATGAATCCATTCCCCTCTCTGCGAAGCCGGGACAGCAGTCGCTACCACTGTAGTAAAAGAGGCATTTTTTAAAAAAACCTAAATGGACGTATCACTTCAGTTCTCCCTCCTCCCCATTTCCGCCAAAGTTGGAAGAGTCTGTAAATTTACCTCTGCTTGTGATGCTCATTGAGAGTGATGCATGTAAAATAATCCCCATCACCAGGACCCAAGAACTCTCTCAAATTGGAGTTAAAAAAGGATGTCTACCGCCTAAGGAGACTGCACCTCCCCAAAGTTGTCTTTTCCCATGAAAAGCGTAACAGAAAGGCTCCTGGGACGCCATGGAGGACTTTCCCCTGGACTGCGGGCAGTGCTGCATTTTACATTGTGCAGCAATATTTTCTCTACCACTACATGTGACCTCAGACCCCTGTGTCCTACTTGACAGTGGCTGGTATTCTAAGCACAGAGCAAATGCTGTTGTTGGGATGTGGGAGCTGCTAGCCTTTGTCCCCAGCCTCTGACGACGCCTGTGTGGTTGTCTATGAATCTACTTTTAAACGAATCACCGCCAGAAGCAAAACAAAAAGCAATGCATGAAAATCTCTACAAATATTACCTTCCCATTTCTCATGCAACCCAAAACGTATCTCCGCTTCTAATACCTAAAAATACTCTCGAGATTTCATTTTCCAGGAAAAGATTTCTAAATACAATAGGAACACCACTTTTGCCTTGAACTGCACTGAACTAAACATTGTTCGACCATCTACCATTATTTATGCTAAGTGATTCATGGTTCTGACTCCAAATAATTTACATATGAATCATTTCCTGGCAGTGTGCCCTGGATCTGTGTGAGAGTAAATGACAAGGAAAACTGCTAACTTGGCAAAGGATACCGCCTTATCTCTGTCTGTGGTGGTTTTGAACATACAAAAGAGACAGAGATAGCGATAGATAGAGAGACAAAAGGAGGAGGAGGAGCAGGAGGGAAGAAGGGAGGGAGGGAGATTAGGGAATAAACAACTCTCCCAAACCAAACTAATCATCCTGTCTCCACACTGCCCAGCCCCATAAAACACACACAGTCCTTTCCTCCAGTGCCCTGTCTCACTGAAGGAACCTGGCTGTCCAGAGCAGACAGGAATCCCCCCCCACTCAACTCTCCCTCCCTTACCCTCCAGTACAGCTCCTGCATCACCAGGTCTACCTTCTCAACAGCCACTGAATCCATCCAACTCACTTCCATCCCCAGTGCCATCTCTCACTGAGACCTCTAGGCGTTTGCACAGGGACTTTCTCCGTCTGGAACGTTCTTTCCCCACATCTTGGTGAATTCCTGTTTATTCCTCAGGACCAGCTTACATCTCACCTCCTCTACACAACCTCCCTGCCGGGTGAGGTACGCCTCTTAGCTGCTCTCATGGCCCTCTGTGCTGGCTCCCCGCACAGCTCCTACTGGCTGTCCTGGAGACTTTTGTTTATCTTGCTCTCCAGTAACCGGCCCAGTGAGTCCTGAAGTGCTTGAGTGAGGAAACACTGTGCATGGCTCCTGACAGGCACTGGCTTCACAGCTGGTACTGTGCCCTCTGAGTATCGCTGAGGAGGATGCAGTCAGAGAGAGAAATGTTTAAATCACCGTCTGTGATTTCTGTGGTGGAGCTATGTAGTGGATTGAATAATCATCCCCCAAAGAAAGCAAGCCCCTGAACTTGTAAATGGTGCCTTATTTGGGGGGTGGGGGGGAAGATCTACAGATGTGATTACGGTTTCTGCAAGAGATCGCTCTGGATTAGCTGGGTGCCCTCGCAGCTGGCCTTAGGAGATAAGAGGCAGAGGGAGGTTTCCCACCCCGAAGAGGAAAAATGAACATGCAGGGGAGAGAGTGAGGTGAAGATGGAGGCCGAGGTAGAAGTGATGTGGCCAGAAGCCAAGGACCACCATCCACCACCAGAAGCCATTCAGTCAGAGGCAAGGAGCAGATTCTCCCCAGGGCCTCCCAAGCTGTGAGAGAATAAATTTCTGTTGTGGTAAGCCACTGAGTTCGTGGTAATTTATTCCAACATCCTTAGGAAACGACTACAACATTCATTTGGATTTATGTCCTGCTTGGGCTCATAACACGTGGATAATGAATGCAAGGCTGTGAGAAGAGAAGGAAGGACCACTTCTAAGTACCATAACAGAAAGCTCAGCGCTTCAGACACTGTGGGAATTCAATAAATATTCATTTAGAATGAATATTATTTAGCATATTAGACATAGAAGAATTCTAAATTTACAAACACCACAGCCTTCTCAACAGCCTTCATAAATCTGGCCCCAAAGCTGATCTTGCAATGCTCTCCTACTTAGAAGGTCCGAGCATACTCTCCGTGTGTGGGGCCTTTGCTCAGGCTGTGGCCACAGGCAGGAGATCCTTTCACTGCTTCCTGCTGGAAGCCCAGCCCAAATGCTTCTTGCTCTATGGTGTCTTCTCTGATCATTTATTTCTCTCTCATATGCTTCCCCACAAACTCTCCAGTTTGCAGAACTGGTATTTGTTTATATGCTAAAATACCCTACTTGTACCACAGTATCTTGCACACGTCAAATTTTAGGTAAACTTACCTAACAATGCTCATGTATATTGCAGACAAGCAAACCGAAGAGCAGACAGGTTAAGAATCCCACCCCCCACCCGCTAGGTTCTTATTACACGAACAATTGAATAAATTTAACTTGCAGAGGGAGCATGAGAGATTGGCCAATGTTTAGGCTGAGTAACCAACTAGCCCAAAATTCCTAAGCCTGCTCTGCCTCTGCTACCTAACCTGAAACTCTGTCTCCTTTTATGTAAAACTGGTGCATCTGCCAGCGTCATTAAAGCAGGAAGGCCAATTTGTTAGTTTGAAAGGAGCGTAGAGTCTCAGACTTCTCACACCTTTGGTGTGGTTCTGGGTTTTATTTTGAAACATGCATCTCCTAGAGAAGAGATTAAAATGTAACATTTTAATCTTTACTGGTGACACTATTACACATGTCCCCCTTTACCTCCACTGACCTCTTCTAGTATACTTTTTGATAGTGAGCACCAAGATCAAGACAATGTACTGTTTTAGGATAAAGGTTTCTGAAAAATGGCAGGAAAAAAAAAAAAGCTCCCTCATGTTTCCTGCACTAGTTTCACAGGTTTATTCCTGTTGTGGATTTGGCAAATCCTCACTTCAATGCCTTCAGCACAATCATCCATCATCTTACCGCGGTTTCTCAGTTTCTTTTACAAAGCAGGTATGGATACTGTACCTTTCCACAACATTTGGCTTTGTCTATAATCTTCAGGGCAAACTCCTTTCCGGTGGACCTACGGAATAATCAGAGGAAGGCCATTTAAAGCCCTCAGTCACAGATAAGATAGCACCATCCTCCCTGATTTCCTCCACAGCAAAGACTCAGGGAGGAAAGGCTGCTTCCTCTGCTCATCAGAGACCGTGCAGCCTCTGGTCCAGGAGAAAGGTACCCCCCAAAAGAAAAGAAAAAAATCCAAAGCCACACTGTCTGTCTCCTTTTTTACATGTTATTATGAAATAATTTACATATTAAACATACTTAAACTCTGCTGTATCAGACATGGACAAACACTGTTTTTTCTAATACTTAAACCTCAAGATAGTTCCCTTAGAAGGCAGAATAAAATTAGGAAAAATGATTCAAAGTAGCTGAAAACTTCCTATTACCAATATGTCTTCACATTAATCTATTAGTCCATCATTCAAACCTCAAAAGTCCCCAGACTTTCCATATCTATTTCTCAGCTCCAACTCCATCTGGTGCCATCTTTGCCACACCTCTGGATGCCCGCTTCTGGCACCAGAGAGATCATTCACGGGGACGCATGACTCTTGTTGTTATTTAACATTTAATCACCTTTCACATATTTTAGTTTGAACCTGCCAAAAAATATCTTTGCATATAGGAAAACAGTTCAACAACGAACGTTTCAGAAGTTCTGGAATATAGCAGTTCTGACCGGTGGTCACACTACCCACCAGTCAGGCCACCTTGGAAAAATAACTTTTATTTAAGTTGCTTCCCTATAACATAAACCAAACCCTGCCTCGGATTTCTAATGGCACCACCATAAGGAGGTGCAGCAGAATGGAAAAGCAGTGGTTGCCAGAGCTTCCTGAAAATTCCCCACAAAGGGTAAAAATACTACTGAGAACAGGCAGGGAAGTGGCAGGCATATAAACACAGAGACTAATCTGAGCCTTTTCCGGTTTTGATGTTGTTTGCGAAAGGCCTGCAATTTGCACGAATGCTTTTCTTACCACTTGAGAATTCAGGACCTTAAAATAAAGCTGGACAAACAAAGATATAATTCTAATATAGGCAACAGTCTGAACACTGATCTTCAATGGAGTCAGAGTTCATGCATCCTGAACTACTGGTACATGCAGTATTAACTGAGAGGGTCACTGTGGGGATTAGACGAGTTACACCACTGAGAACTATGCCTAGGACAGGGAAATGCTCCACGAGATTTTTAAAGAATACATCTTATTCTTTCCCAGTGTTCTCTGGCTCGTGGATGAGACATGATATATTGCTTAATCAAAATCAAAGCATACTCTATCTGAAGACATGTTTTTTCCCTGACAAACTGCTTGTGGGCATGCAAAACAGCTGGGGCCTAACTTAGGCTCTTTCATAAAATCTTGTGTTCACTCCGGTTAAGAATAAACTCCAAGGAGAAATGTATGGGTAGGTGGAAAAATGATGGTCCTCACCATCCACTCACCTGTCCATGCACTCTTTGACTACTGCAAAATTGCCATCACCAATAACCTTTCCAATTCTGTACTTCTCAAGAAGAGTCGAAGATTCAATGCACCTGTTTCCATTTATGCCTAGGAAAGAGGATAAATGCAAAGTTGAAAGAACACACCAACATTTCATCTTGATTCCTATATACTTGTCAATCAATTGCAATGCATTTATTTCTAAATCTACGGTAAAACTATGAGGAAAGTCTCTGAGCATATTGTCTGAATAGAGTACCTGAATCACCAATTTTCTTTCGACTTGACTGGTTGGCATCAGAAACCAATATCATCAATAAAGATAACAAATATCTGAAATGCCAGCTAAAATAAGCGATTCTTTGTGTAACAAAGAAGTCTAACTAAAACTTCAAACATTTTGTCAAATTTGAGAAAGAAGAAGGGGATGATGTTGGGATTTAACCTTAGATATTGTCACAAGATTTCTCCTCAAGATTTTTTAGTAAAGAAAACTCTAGCCAGCTAGGATGCCTGTTAAAGCTAATAACTGGCTCAAAGAAAGACAAATACCATATGATCTCACTTATACGTGGAATCTAATTAACAAAATAAACTGACAAACAAAATAGAAACAGAGGTATGGATACATGGAACAGACTGACAGCTGACAGGGGGGAGGGGCCAGGGGAGACTAGGTGAAAGGTGAAGGGACTAGCAAAAAAAACATAAAAATAAATCAAACAGACACAGTCAACAGTGTGGAGACGGCCGGAGGGAAAGGGGGTGGAGGGTAGGTGGAGGTGTGCAAAGGGGCAGAAAATGGGGACAGAAAGAGACTTTGCTTGAGAAGATGGGTGCACGATGCGGTACACAGATGATGTTTTATTGAGTTGTACCCTTGAAACCTATATGGTTTTATTAACCAACTAGAGAGGCCTAGTGCACAAAATTTCGTGCACTGGGGGTTGTGGGGTTCCCTCAGCCCAACCTGAGCCCTCTCGCCGTTACCCTTTTATTATTATAGATATTAAAGCTAATTCCTGGCTCCAAGTCTTCTCAAAAAGGTGGTGGTAGTGGGCGGTAGGGGACAGGACGAAGAAGAGGTTAAGATGAACCACTTTTTACAATGTATCTCCAGTACCCAGGACATTGCAAACATCATATAAAGAAACTCTTTTGTTAACTAATTGAGAAAAAGAAAAGTCTACATATAGGACTTGTGAGCAGGTTGCCCCTAAGGAAAAATAAAGAGAGCTCAAATCTAAAATGTGAGATTGGACTAGCTTAAGTAACAACCCACTAAGACCAAACTGGTGACATGATCACCTCCCTGCTTAGGAAGATAACTGAGCACATGTGGATTTGGGGTGGCCACCAAGTTCCCACAGATGACTTCCTTTATAAACGTAACATCAGACTGAGAACTACCTTCGGGACTCAGGCAACGATCGAGTTCAGGCCCGCCATTTATGTTGGAAGAAGATCTGCCATGTGCAGAAATCTGCTGAGAGAGGAGAGTGACCATTATTTATCAGGAAAACTTGACAGATCTTCAGCTCGCTCGTCCTTAGATAACAGAAAATGCGTATAGAATGTAAAATACAGGCAGAGAAACAGGAGGTACGGCCTTTCTTTCCTCGCACCTCTCTCCCTATACACATCACATTAATGCATTTTATCCTTAGAGACAGTATTTTTTATTGGGATTAGACATCAGGAAAATTGACAGCGTGTGACTCTTTGATATTGTGTCACTTCTGACAATGCAATAAAATAAAGGTTTCTGTGGCATCAAAGCTCTATGGGGTACTCACGAGTGGCAAAGGCAGGCTTCGAACTACCGATTGTTCCAAGTCAGCAATGACTCCCCAGATCTCACAGCCGCCCCCAAGGCTGACCTCAGGGCGTCCCTGCCAAGGGCAAGCCCTTCTGAGAACCCAGCCCCATGCTCCCAACTGCACCACCTCAGGACCCAGCGTGCAGCCCTGGCTCAACCCTCGTCTTTACCGACCCTGAGGCAGCAGGATCCCTCCTGAGCACCGTGAGGGTTTTCATTACTAGGATCCAGAGGGAAATTAACAAAAACCTGAAGCTCCCATTCTAACACATAAATATCTCTAGTTCTTAGTTAAATTGAAAATCTCACATTATGAATATTATTCATATTAAGTTTATTATTCTGTAGGCTTATGGAATTTTTTCGTAAACCCCAAGGGCTCTTATGCTTTTGAACTAAAACATTTCCCTTTGATCTTTAATTTTCTCTTCTCTCTCCTCTCCTCTCCTCTCCTCTCCTCTCCTCTCCTCCCTCCCTCCCTCCCTCATGCCTTTCAGGAGCTTACAGGGTCAAAGGACCTACGAAATCTTAAGAAAGCATCTTCGACATTTTTTGTCTTGGTATGTTTCCACACTTGCATCTGTGTCCACACATCCAACTACCCTGGTAGCTTCTGGCCCATCTTCATGGCTGCATCCCCCATGTGCAGCACCATGTCTGGTACACACGGTGCTTAACTCACACTTGCTCCACAAAAGCATCAAGGACACAGGTCCACGGCAGGGACCGCCCTTCCCAGAGTGCCCACTGGTTGGAGTCACTGGATCTATTCTCCTCTGGGTGAGGTGAATTTCACTAGAGCTGGGTTTGGTTCAAACCCCAGGAGAGCCCAACGCTTATAAAACATTCCTTCAACCAGGATCACCCACAAGTTCTTCTGGGATAAAAGACGAGGCTTGAGAATGAGAGGCACGCAACACCAGGGCTGTTTGCTCAGACCCGAGGCAGCTGCACCTGTGTGGACTATAACGCTGGCAGCAGCGTGTCCTGTTAGGAACCCCGAGGCCACGGGAAAGGAACGTGAGATACACCAAATGAGCCCCCGTCTGGCGTGGTAAACACCCCTCGCACAGGGTTCTTTTTTCTTCCCTCTGCCCTGGCAGGTGCTGTGCAGATGCGTGGGTCCCTTTCTGGGGGACAAATGCTGCACTAAACACCGGACTCCTCAGAAGTCAATCATGTTGCTTCCTCACAATATGAGGTAACTGGTCAACAAGGAAAGGTTTTCAAAATGTAGCAATTGCATTTGTTTTGTTGTTTTATTGTTTTATGCCCTGCCATACTAGGCGGCTTCTAAACAGGCGGAAGTCTATGCTAGGATGTTTAAAACAAGACCCCGAGCGGGGATGTAAACCGGAGGGGAAGGAAAGGAAAACCACCGTGCTCTCCACTGTTCCGTCCCCCACTCCCACCTCACCCATGTCCCCCTCACACTTGTCTTGGCAGCTCACCAGCGGCCCCCTTGGTCTCCCCTGATCCACGCACTGTTGCCAGAGAAACTTCCACAGGACGGTTCTGGTATCAGCCCCAGGATCCAAAAACCTCAGTGGGTCTGTGTTACCAACAGAATAACCCCCAAATCTTCAGTGTAGCATTCAGGTCGTTATGTCCCCATACCTGCCTGTCCAATTTGTTTCCACTACCTTTCCCCCCATACATTTAATACTTAGGTTAACTCAGATAATCTCTTTTTGTTGAAAAGTTACTTAACCTTTCCAGGTCTTATCTTTGGCTCTGAATAGAGGGACAGTAGCAGCACCTAGCTCAAAGATTTGCTAAAGAATTAAAATTAGCTCACACAGGTAAAATCATTTAGCACAGCCACTGACATGGAACACTAATTCAATACCAGTTACTAGCATCTCTCCTTAAAGCAGTGGTTCTCAGCCCTCTGGCCCTTTAAATACAGTTCCTCATGTTGTAACCCAACCATAAAATTATTTTCGTTGCTACTTCATAACTGTAATGTTGCTACTATTATGAATCGTAATGTAAATATCTGATATGCAGGATGGTCTTAGGCGACCCCTGTGAAAGGGTCGTTCGACCACCAAAAGGGCCGTGACCCACAGGTTGAGAACCGCTGCCTTAAAGCGTCTATCCCACAGGGAGCCTCGAAGCGAGTGACTATGGGCTGCTTTTAAGTTGTTGAATGAGCAACGGCTAGAAGAGAACTTCTGCTAAATGATTCAAAGTCTGTTCCTCTTCCCATCCAACCCTTCCTA